TCACCTTATTAAGTGGATCATTTATATTTTTCCAAGCAATGTGTGATTCTAATACGCCCCCTCACGCACAGCGTGGACCATGTCCAACAACTGTGAACAAATCAATATTGGGTGCACCCAACATTGCAAAACTGGGCCTGCTCTGATACCATATTAGAAATGATATTGAGCCTAACTCATCCTAACAAAACCGACTTGTTAGGAGAGGATTGCTCTCACCTTATTAAGTGGATCATGTAAATATTACCAGCCAATGTGGGACTCTAATACTTAATTTTTTTAATTATAAGTAAACTTTCAAGCTTAGCCAATTGTCCTCTATTTTCTATGTACTTCTTATCCTCTAATGAAATAGTGAAGGGAACAGGAGATCATGTACTGGTTTGCATCTTAATATAACAGATAAAAATGAAGCTGACTTGCCCGTGATAAAACGGATGAGATGATTTAACAAGAATCTTTCTAGATTAAAAGAACTGGTCGCAAAGGTAAACTGATGAGAAAGCACATGGGATAGTGTGTTTGGAAAAGTGTGGAAAAGTGAGTAATAAATCCACTACAAGAGGCACTCAAATATTTTTTATATGTACAAAAGAGAATGGGCTTACTGCATAGGCATAACAGCTTGACATTTATATTGCATGGTAATTATAGTCTTGGCTGTCGGCTTATAGTTGTGGTGAATACTGCTGTCTGTCTCTCATTTGCAGACACAGTTAATTAGTCATAAGATGTCAACTAGGGAGGGATGTGATCCAAGTATTTTAGTCCATGGATAAACAGTCAATTCTAGACATTAAAACGGGTTTGACTCCTAGTATCGCACCAGGATTTCTGATGTTAAGGATTCTCAGAAAGCGTAATTGTAGAGCATACTCATGTATCACAGTGAATTCATAAATACATAGTATGGCTCTCGGTATCGAGTCACCGAGTACCATCTCAGAATATGAATCGTGTTCATAGAAGTAGTCCAAATTTTGAAGATGTGTTTTGGCAGGCTTCGACTTCTTGTAGAAGAGTTTAGTAGGAAAGTCATCTTATGTCAGCTTCCTCTAAAAGCTGTTCTATTCAGATAAAGTATTTGTAGAAAATTATTCAAATATATTCAAATACATCTTCTTAATCTCAAAAATAACTATTGGATATGATTTTTGTATTTGAATAACATGAGATTTGACCCTTAACGCTTGAACAAACTCGATGAAAGATTTGACATCACTTTATGTGGACTTGCTGACATTAATGATTTTATACAATTTGTGGTATATTAGAACCAGAATGAGATTTTATCTAATCTTTATGGATATGAAAAATTGATCTGATAATGCAATTTAAATTCTAAGAAATCCTTTCAAGATTAGTTAAGAAATTATGTGCCATTATCATCATCGGCACGAATTCTCTCCATCATAGATGTACCCAAGCTGTGAAAGGTAAAACAATTACACAGTTCTCAGTTCTGTTAAAGGTAGGATGCATTGGTAATTAAGAAAATGTCACTTGAAAATAATTATTTGTGCCAGGAAAAAATGTAGCACAAGTTGACTCTACAACTGGACACGTTGGATATTGGAAGCTTACGTGTCACCACTTCACTCCTAGTGTGCTGCGGGCCATGGACCCAACTTATTACATTAGTTTATTGAATTATTCTACTTTGTTAGACGATTTTTGACATCTTCTCGATCGATGTATAGGTGGATGAAAATGAATACTCTGTTTAAAACAGTTAAAAGGATAGAATGTCAACCTATATGTCAAGAATGTGGACAATGTAGCACGATTGTAGTTTATTTCGTGTATAATGTTGTTTGAACAGGGCCACGGGCGACGTGCAAGCACCCTGCCTATGGGGGGCCACGTCTCCCCCCCTATTTGAACAACACCTACGTGGCCTCGTTCGTGTAGTGTGGTCCTTCTTTCATTTACAAAAAAGGCTCAACTCGTTGTTGGTTATTGTATAATACATGTGAGTGGTGACAATAGCTTGAAGCCTTTTTAGAATTAAAAATAAAATATGCCGCGAGGCCGAATAACACGAATTTTTTGAGTTTCAATTGTTGTAAATCATCCATTTATGTCTTGTTGATTATTTATTTATAACA